GTTTTTTAAAAAAGCCTTAGAAACTAGTGACCAAAAAATGTCAAATTTGTCATTAAACTTGAAAACTGTGTAATTCAATCTGAAATGAGGGTCATAAAATCTAAACATGGGCAATTATGAAGGATATTGGCCATGGTGGATTGTAAAAAACGTTGATAGATATGACAGTTGATAGGAAATACCTAGCATTTAAAGAATTAATTCTGGATTTTTTAAAAAAAACAAATTCATTTAGATGAAAAATGTGCAACAATAAATGGAGAGCCATGGTTATTAAACAAATTTAGAGAGTATTATATAAAAGAAGGAGACTTACAAAGTTACTAAAAAAGTTGCAATCCTGAGGATTGGTAAAATTTGAAGGAGAATGAAGAAATGTTAAGGAATGAGAGAATAAAGTATGAATATAAAATAGCAAGAAATGTAAAAATGGTTCATCATAGAGATGTACAGCATGGAAACCGTCCATTCGGTTCAACTCGTCCAAGCTGACCAGATATTCTAAATTAATCTAGTCCCATTTGCTCTAATCCCTCTAACCCTTCCTATTCATATACCCATTCAGATGCCTTTTAAATGTTGTAATTCTACCAACCTCCCCCACTTCCTCTGGCAGCTCATTCCATACATGCACCACCCTCTTGCGTGAAAATGTTACCCTTTAGGTCCCTTTTAAACCTTTCCCCTCTTGCCTTAACCTATGCCCTCTAGTTTTGGACTCCCCTACTCTGGGGAAAAGACCTTAGCTATTCACCTATAAATGTCCCTCATTATTTTATAAACTTCTCTAAGGTCACCCCTCAGCCTCCGATGCTCCAGGGAAAATAGCCCCAGCGTATTCAGCTTCTCCCTATAGCTCAAACCCTCCAATCCTGGCAACATCCTTGTAAATCTTTTATGAACCCTTTTAAATTTCACAAATCCTTCCTACAGCAGGAAGACCAGAATTGAATACAATATTCCAAAAGTGGCCTAACCAATGTCCTGTACAGCTGCAACATGACCTCCCAACTCCTATAATCAATGCACTGACCAACAAAGGCAAGCATGCCAAACACTTTCACTATATGGTCTACCTGTGACTCCACTTTCAAGGAACTACAAACCTGTACTGTAAGGTATCTTTGTTAAGCAACACACCTCAGGATCTTCCCGCCAAATGTATAAGTCCTGCCCTGATTTGCCTTTCCAAAATGCAGCACCTCACATTTATTTATCTAAATTAAATTCCATCTGCTGTTCATCGGCTCATCGGCCCATCTGATCAAGGTTCTGTTGTTCTCTGAGATAACCTTCTTCGCTGTCCAGTACACTACCAATTTTGGTGTCATCTGTAAACTTACTAATTATACCTCTATGTTGACTTCCAAATTATTTATATAAATGACAAAAAGTAGTGGACTCAGCACCGATCCTTGTGGCACAACAGATATCTAACAACGACAAGTCAGAATACAGAAAGGAGATAGAGGGCTTGGTGATGTGGTGCGATGAAAACAGCCTGTCTTTCAGCATCGGCAAAACTAAAGAACTGATCATTGACTTCAAAAAAAAAAGGAGAACACGCCCCAATCTACATCAATGGAGCTGAGGCTGAGGGGGGAGAGTGTCAAGTTCCTAGGAGTGATGATAATCGACAATCTGTACTAGACTTCCCATGTAGATACGACGGTCAAGAAGGCACAACAATGCCTCTTCATCCTCAGGCAGCTCAAGAAATTTGGCATGTCCATAACAACCCTCACCAGCTTTTACAGCTGCACTACTGAAAGCATACTGTCCGGGTGCATAACGGCCTGGTATGGCAGCTGCTCCGCCCAGGATCGTAAGAAACTACAGAAGGTTGTGTGCACAGCCCAGTATACAGCCAACCTTCCATCCATGGTCTCATTGCTGCGGAAAGGCTGCGAACATCATCAAAGACCCATCGCACCCTGATAATGCGCTCCTACAACCCGTTCCATCAGGCAGAAGACACAAAAGCTTGAACACATGCACCAGCAGGTTCAGGAATAGCTTCTTCCTGGCCATTAATAGAGTGATGAATGGACTCTCTAACTTCAAATAATGCTGGTCTTGCTAATGTTGTTCTTGCCTAGTGCATGCCCTAAGCAACGTAACCTGTACGCCTCCATCTAAGTCGTCTTTTGCACCCTTTGATCTGTATGTCTTTGCTTAGTATGATCTGCATATACTGCTCATAAACAAAACTTTTCACTGTACTTAGGTACAAGTGACAATAAATAAATCAAATCAAATCAAATACCGCTGGTCACTGTCTGTAAAGCAATCCTGCACCACCACCCTCTGTCTCCTACCGTCGAGCCAGTTCTGTATTCAAGTGGTTAGTTCTCCCTGTATTTCATGTGACCTAACTTTGCTAACCAGCCTACCGTGCAGAGTCTTCGAACACCTTACTGAAGTCCATATAGATCATGCCCACTGCTCTGCTCTTATTGACCCTCTTTGTCACTTCTTCAAAAAACTCAATCTGGTTAGTGAGACATGATCTCCCGTGCACAAAGCCATGTTGACTATCCCTAATCAGTCCTTGCCTTTCCAAATACATGTGGATCCCCTCCGATAACTTGCCCTTTGCTGATGTCAGGCTCACAGGTCTATCATTCTCTGGCTTTATGACCTTTCTCAGATAGTGGCACCATGTTAGCCAACCTCCAATCTTCGGCAACTCACCTGTGGCCAACAAGGTTCGGTGAAAAGTTTTACTTTGCAAGCAGTACAGGCAGATCATAACATACGAAGATTATAGCATGATTGAACAGAGTGAGGAATACAAAGTTATGGCTGACCTGCAAGTAGATTTAAAAGAACATTGTTAGTAATTTTAACAGACTTAGAATTGAGTTTGAAATTGCAGAATGATTGTAAGAAATGTGAGAATAAGATTCGCTGTATGTTGGCGCCATCTTGAATGATTTGCCATTGCTCGTACCATAACAAATCAACTTTGCACCATGCCGCATGTTAATGTTAGAAAAAAATTAGTTAAAGGGCTGGTGAGAGGCAGCTTCAAATTGTGTGGTATTTCTGCTCCTGTCTAGCTGATGCAAGGTTCCTTATTCTAGGGTGGAGACTCAGTCACAGGTACTGGCAATTAGACCAAAACAGGGATAGAGAATTGATCATCATGTTCATGTAGGATGGTGTGTTGGGCTGGGCGGGAAGTAGCAATGATTAAAGAGTAGCTAATTATTCGGTATGAGATAGGGAGAGGGGCTGATTCTGTGTATATGTGCATGCATGCAAGTGAGAATGTGAGGGAAAATGGGATTACGTTGGAAAATAATTTGACAATCACTGTTTTCCAATGTAATCCCATTTTCCCTCACACTCACTTATATGCATGCACATATATACTATAGATATGTGTAAAAGAAAACAGTAGGAAAGAGATATGAATATATTAGAGGCAGAACAGGATAATTTGTGATAGAAGTGACAAAGAAATTAAATAAATACTTTGTTTACTTCAAGATACAGGATGTTTCCCTGCACATATTAAGATCCAAGGGTCTAGTGAGAATGTGAACTGATACGAAGTAATGTTTAGTTTAATAAAAAGTAGTTCTGGAGAAATAATGAGACTGAAAATTGACACAATCTTCAACTTTCAACTTCAGCTGTTCACAGTCTGTCAATCATTTGGATGTGTGGTCCATTTATAATGTTGCCAAGTTTATGTTATGTAAAGTTTGGAAATGTAATTGTGAGGAGGATGCAAAGAGACTCTGAGGGTACTTAAACAGGAGAATGAGTGGGAAAGAGCTTGGTACATGGAATACAGTGTGAATAAATATGATGTTTACTACTTTGGTAGGTGGGATGAAGGTACAGAATATTTCTTAAATGATCAGAGGTCAGAAAGTGTTGATGTCCAAATGGACCTAGATGTTCATGTTCATAAGCTATTGAAAGTCAACAAGCAGGTGGAGGAAGCAATTTGGAAGGCAAACAGCATGTTAGTCATTATTGCAAGAGGATCTAAGTACGGAAGCAAAGAAGCCTTACTTATAGTACTCATGAGACTGTACTTGGAATATTGTGTACGGTTCTGGTTCCCTTTCCTAAGGAAGGATACACTCACCATAGAGTGAGTGTCGTGGAGGTTCACCAGTCTGATTCCTGGGATGGTGAAAATGTCTGAGACTGGACCTGTAATCTCTCTGGCATTTAGAAGAACTGGAGGCAACCTCATAGAAACTTCATAGTGAAATCTCAATCAATCATTCAGTCAGTTCAAAATGGAGATTTAGAGATTTATACTTAGTAATAACATCAGGGAATATAGGGATAACCTGGGAATATAGTATGGAAGTAAATGATCAACAGTGATCTAGAATTGAAGAGTAGAATTGGGTGGCTGAGTGACCTACTCCTACTCATGTTTCTAACGTGTAAGTACAGCAAGCAATTACAAAACAAAATGGTATGTTGGCCTTTATTACAGGAAGATTTTAGTACAAGCTTAAAGATGTTTTACTGCAATTATATAGAAGCATACTGAGATCTCACCTTGAGTATTGTTGCAGTTTTGGTCTTACCTATGAAAATATGTTTTTGGCATGGAGGGACGGTGTCAAAGGTTCATCAAACTAATTTCTGGAATGGAGGGATTATTTGAAGAGAGTTTTGAATCTTTGGAATTCTCTTAGCTGTGGACTACTAGTTGTTGAGTACATTTAAGAATGAGAGTGATAGATTTCAAAAGGTTTTAAAAAAATATATATAGGAATCGTCAAGGAAAATAGTATTTAAGTAGAAGATCAGTCTTGATCCCATTGAATGACAGAGTGGACTTGAAGGGCCGAATGGCCTATTCATTCTTTATGTTCTCAAAAATGGAAAGACACCCTTGCAAACTTGCTAGTAAGTTTACCTAAATGTCAATGTATGTTTTTTGTTGTCATATAGCATATGAACATGTCTACTTTCAAACTATATGTAAAATTACAGGTCTGTGCTTTCTTTTACTGTTTTAGACTTACAGCAGCTGAGGGAGTTAATCCTAAAATTTTTGAGCCAAAGGAAGAAAGTAGTGACGAGGAGGAAGAATTAACTCCAGAAGAACAAGGCAAGCCGACTATATTTTTATATTTAGGGAATGTGTTTCACATTGGTTTTTAAGTTTCTAATGCCTGCTCGTTGTTGAACCACAAGACCCTATGAGAGGCAGAGGAGGCTGCTAAATAAGATAAGAGTCCATGGTATTAGGGGCAAGGTGCTGGGTATGGATAGCGAACTGGCTGACTGGCAGAGGGCACAGAGTGGGGGCAAAAGGGTCTTTTTCAGGCTGGCTGCCAGTGTTGTGGACCAGACTAAACCTGCTCAAAATATATAATATATCAAGAAGATAATCTGGACCCCAAGTTTTCCTTATTTTAAAGGCAAGTGTAAAGCATTGTGTTCTGGGTGTAGTTCGATTGAAGCAAAACACACTTTATTTTAGCTACAGTGTAAGAATACAAACAAACAAGAAGGATTGGAATAACTTCACTCTATTGCAAAGCTTGACAGAATAAAGGATTATTTTACCACAAAACAGCAGTTGTTCCAATATGGTAGTGTCCCAGAAATACACCCTAGACAAAGGCAAATGCAGTAAAATAGATTGTCTCATATGCAGTTCTCCAGTCCAGAAGGAAAGAGCATCAAGCGAAGTGTGTGTGTGTGTGTGTGTGTGAGTGAGTGTGTGTGAGAGAGAGAGAGAACCCAAGCATTTTGCTGTAGCAGGGAGAGATGTATAGCATCTTCCAAACCCCAACAGCTACTGAAAATTGAAACTAAAATCCAGCTTCTGTGGGTGCTTAACTGCACCCATTTGTGTTGCTTCTATTGTTCCAAATCAAAACAAAACCAAAGCCCTCACAAGCTGTTTACTTTATTGGCTTGAAACAGTCCGCTTGGTACCTCTGTCTCAATCTCTCTTCATTTTAAAAAAAAAACAGGACAAAATATATCTCTTAAAGCCATAGTATCATCACACCTCCCCCCTTTAATAAAAGAACCATGAATAATCAAAGATGCCTTCATTTTTAAAAACTTTTAGCCTTACAATAAAGTACACTGCAATACATGTACATTACATTCACTCTAAGCTTGCAAACATTTAGTACTACAGTCCACTTTAGTCTATTTCTTGCCACCACTGAACACCTTTATCTTTCTTCATCACAGTCGTGACCATGTGTCAGCAATTACGTTCTCTTGTCCTGCCACGTGTACAATTTTCAAATTGAATGGTGGCAATAATAAACTCCAACTAAGTAGTCTGGAATTTTATCCTTAAATTTTTCCAAAGATGTTAGGGGGTTATGATCAATATGTACAATTGTCTAAGACACATTATTGGCAACATAAATGTTGAAATGTTGCAATGCCAACACCAAACTCAAGGTCTCTTTCTCAATTGTGGAATGTTTCTGTTGATGAATATCAAATTTTTGGAAAAATACCCAATAGGTCTTTCAATCTTCCTGTCATCATCTTGCAGGAGTACAGCACCAATACCCACATCACTTGCATTGACAGCCTCCTTGAATGGCTTTCCGTAATTAGATGTGGCTAACACTGGGGCACTAGTTAACACAGCTTTCCGGTTGTCAAATGCCTTTTGACACTCTTCCATCCACAGAAATTTTCTGCACCACTTCAACAGGTCAGTCAGTGGAGCAAATTAAAATTTGATATGAATGTCCAATAAAAATAACTCAATCTCAGGAATCATAGTACTTCCCTCTCCAATAGTATGGGGAGCTCCCCAATAACCTTTATTTTCACATCCTATGGGACTGTTTGTCCATGCAGTAATATGGCCCAAGAACATGTCTTGGGGTTTTGCAAACTCACTCTTAGCTGGGTTTATCACAAAGCCTGCCTCCCAGAGTCAATCGAACAATTCCAATAGATGCTGCAAGTGTTCCTTCCATGTGTCACTAAAAATCACCAGATCATCTGTATACAGTACACAATTGGGTAATTCTGAAATGACTTTCTTGTTAATCTTTGAAATGTGGCTGGTGCATTCTTCATACCAAACGGCATGACTTTAAACTGGTACAGACAATCTGGTGTCATGAAAGCCAAACTTTACTTTACCCTTTTGGAGACCTGCCACTATCCACTGAGTAAGTCCAACTTGCTTGTCCCACCTTCTCAATACAATCTTCCAAACGTAGAATAGGATATGTATCAGATATTGTAATTGCATTGACTTTGCAACAGTCCCGACTCTTTCTTCCCCCCCACCTTCCGGTTTGGCACCATTACTATGGATGAGCTCCAGTTGCTGCAACTCACTTCAATTATATCATCTTTGAGCATGCATTTAATCTTTTTTTGAACCTGTCCCAATATTAGAGGGTTAAGTCTATAAGGATGTTCCTAAATTGGAACAGCATTTCCTATATCATGCATAATTATTTCAGTACTTCCCAGCTTATTTCCAGATATCTCCCTATGTGATTATAATAACTCTTTCAGGTCATTTTGATTTTCCTCTAGAAGGTAACTCAATTTATCCCAATTTTTGAGAACTTTCTCATTGTCCAGTTTAACTTGAGGAATGTCCAATTCAGAATCATCTGAACTTGGTTCTTCACTCTGTGTTGTAACCAGTGACACATTCTCCTTTTGCTTTTCTTCCCTGTCAAAATATCTTTTGAGCATATTCACATGATACACTCCTTCAGTTTTCTTTCTCTCTGGTGTTCTTATTAAATAATTCACCTCACTCAGTTTCAGTTTGATTTGATAAGGCCCACTAAACTTTGCTTTTAAAGGTTCACATACCACTGGTAGTAATACTAACACTTTATCTCCTCTAGCAAGACCATGAATTTTTGATTTCGTGTCTGCTTCCCGTTTCATCATCTACTTTTAAACACTGTCTCGTCAACTCACTTGCTATATTTAATCTTTCGTAAAATTTGACACATAATCCAAATATGTAGTCTCTGAACCATCTGACTCACCAATTTCTCCTTCGTTAATTCCAGTGGTAGTCTCACCTCATGCCGAAAAGATAATTCAAATGGACTGAAATTTAGTTGATTCGTTAGGTGCAACTCTGATTGCGAAAGGTCACCCCACCTGAGGGAGTGGAACTGGAAAATAATAAAAGAAAAAGTTTAAACTTTTAGGTGTGGCAGATTCTGGATATGGTTTGTTTGATGTTATAAGACAATGACCATGTGTTGTACAAGGCTTCTTTCAAAGAAATAGCCTACTGGACTACGTCATTACACCCTAGATTATGTACTGTGATTTCCAATAGGACAGTTTATATAGTGGTTTATAGCATTTTAAGAATATAGCATTGTTTTTCCTCAACACATCAACCTATTTAACATGTCAGCAACCCACTCATTTGGATTAAATTTGAGATAATTCTCTTAATGTACAACAGATGAAAATAACCGAAGACAGCTTTCATTGGAACAATTAGTGGTGTTTTTTTTTGGATTTTGCTTGCAAATAGATAAATCTAACAGTGTTATATTGTAATATTTATGGTAGAAAATTTTTTTCTACTTATGAACAAAGTAAAAATATTGTTATTGCAAGACCTGAACTAATCTTTTGCATCTGACTTTAGATACACACACATTTCTCATGCTGTTCATCACTTTGAAACTGGTAATTCTCTCAAACCCTGTGGTAGTTTTTCTGACATTATTAGATATTGCCACGTGCTCTCGAGAATTGTTCCTTTTTAAAATCGCATAAAAGAGTTACCAGAATTTCATTATTTCTGAGTTGCTGGCATGTATTCAATATATGAATTTGTATTTATGTTTAGCACTTCATGAGAGTGTTCTGTATTAAGTTACCTTATCAATTGTCCGTCACTTTGAAATTATAATGGTTGTACCTTTTTATAATTGATTTGCTGGTCAAGCCATTGGAAGATGAGTTATCTCTATCCTTAATATTCTCAATCACTTCTAACAAGTTATAGCTGTCTTTTTGTGGAATGTAATGTGTGCATTGTGATACCCATCTTTCAGTCACTTCACAATAAATTCTATAGAATTAGTAAATACATGTAAGGACTTTATTCCCAATTTGATTCAAACATGGGGAGGGGGCAGCAATCTTTGCTGAAGAAAACAATCAGAATTTCACAGAGGCTTTTAAATATTTTTATTTCTTTGAAGAAAACAAGAAGCAGTTTGAGATGAAGAGAAAAATGCATTACAACGAAGGCATGAATATCAAATTAGCAAGACAATTAATTGCCAAGGAACTAGATGATGATGAAGATGGCATGAAAGGAACTGATGACCAGGAAAAGGACTTTGAAAATGGTAATAATAAAAAGCTTCATTTTTGCATGAAATAGATTGTTTACAATGGTTTTGGAACTAAAATTATTTGGGACAAATCTGATTATATGCCAGTTGTAAAATTCACAGTAATTTCACTGAAAATTTACTCTCAACTGTTCAAATCTTTGAACTCATGTCAAATGTAGACTGATGTAATGTCATTTTTATGCATTTAAAGAAACAACTGCAATTACTTAATGCATCTAAGGGCTGTTTTTTAAAGCAACATTAAGCAAATAAACAAGTACATTCATCTGCATAAAAATAACATGGCTATGCATATGCTTCAGAAGTGTGAGCATTTGAGTCAAAATTTGTTTAGCATTATCCCTAAAATTTTGATAAGTTACAATGCTCTAGCGTGATCCTAAGTTTCAAGGCTCCTCTGTTGATATAATGTACAAAGACTAAATTCAAACCCGTGATATTAACCACCTGGAAGGAAAAGGACAGCAAGTGCAAAAGAATGCCACCAACTTGCAAGTTCCCTTTCAAGCCACACACCATCCTGACTTAAAACAATATCATGTTTCATCACTGTCCCTAAGTCAAAATCTTGAACTCCTCTTCCCCGTCCCTCCATCCCCATTGTGATTGTACCTTTGTCACATGGACTAGCCATTCAAGAAGGTCTCACCATTATCTTTTCAATTGCAGTTTGGGTGGACAGCAAATACTAGCCTAGCCAGCGACGCCTGCATCCTGTGGAGAAAAAAAAATTAAACACTATTGCCACCTCCTCCCACCACTCTAAATTATTGCTTACTCATTCAAAATATCTGAGTACAGTTCCTCAATCTGACAATTCTAACAATGTTGAAGACAAACTGGTATTTCCTTTCACTTAATATCAGCAAAGCTAAAACCACTATACTTAATCCCTCCAAAAACTGTTACGCACAAACCCCAATGCTTTGCTTTTCCCTAGCTACCTGCTTGAGCTCCGACATTTGGGAACAACTTTGATTTCTGTTTGATTCTGCCCCATCACCCAATATTCTAAACGTCACGAAGACAACATCTATCATTCTTATTCTTTAACCTCATTGCTGACGACATATTAATCATTTTCTTGCCTGCTAGCTTACGTTGTGTAATGCTGTCTTCAACTGAGGTTGTAGTCCAATTTGCCTAAATCTCTGTTGTTTGTCATCCTGTCTTTTTTAAGCTCTGTTTGACTATTTTTGCACTAACCTTCATTAGTTCCCTATATTTAATGCAAATATCTTACTCTCACTTGCCTCTGCAACTGTCTCCAGCCCTCTGTACCAAAGTATTCCTTCTAAACTGTTGACTGTTTCCTGTTCATACTCCATTCTTAATACTCCTTTAACCACCTTGGTGCTACCCTGAAACTTTATTATTAAGTCACTGAACTAATTTTATTCACATCTTCTCAAAATCACCTTCATTGTGCACTGTAGTATCTCTTTTGCTTATTTTACTGGTTTTGGAATATATAATGTTTAATAATTGCAAGACCCAAAGATGTAGGTGATACAATGAAAATATATGTTCTCAGCAGAAACATAAAGAAGCCAGGAAAAGAGTAATGAAATGATACATAACTGCATTCTCTGACCAGATATGTTGTCTTGTAATTCTGTAGCTAATTTCAAATAGTAAACAGTAAATGATGCACCACAGTGAAACCAGTTGAAATTAACTTAAATGGATAATTTGGGTTAATTGACTCTCTAACTTGTTAAACACTACCACAACCAGCTATTTGTTCCAAGGCAACATGCTATCTACCTATCAGGCAATTAGTGCAAATTGTGACTTTAAAAGAAAAACTATTTGCTCTGTAATTCAATAAGTAGAGAATTTCTATGTGATAATGTATTTAAAATTATGAACAATAAATTAAATATGACCAACTACTTGCAGTAAATTAATTGAGACAAAGCAACGTTGCTCAGCTTTAATATGTTAATAGCTTATTTGCAGGTTAAGACAATCACTGAAATAAAAATGTGCTCAGTACTACATTTCAAACATTTTCATTTTCTGTCTTTGTATTTTCTTTCCCAACAGATACAGATGAAGAACTTTCTGAAAATGAGGACATTGACTCTTAGAGCAGAGCCATGATTTAAATCTGGCACAAAAATATCCAAGCTAGCAGCATTTACCATGAAGTGTTTTAATTTATTGAAACACTGAGGTGTTTCAACTACAGTCTAGCTTAGATTCAGAGAAGTCTGGTTCCACCTGTGCATTTGAAATTTTACAGTGTGTTTCTGCAGTAATGTAAATAAAAATCTTCTTGAGAGGTGGGCAGGAGGCGTCTGTCTGCCTTTTTTTTGATGGCACTGCTGTTGGATCACTGAAAGAACTTTTTTTCTGAAAACCACAGTAGCATAGAATTCATGCAGTAGTATGTAGCACAGAACACTTTCCAGTGGCGCTCAACCCAATAATCAGACTGTAATACATTCATATCTGTGTAATGCTATGTGCACGTTTCAATTCACGTTGGTACACTTTTTTGCAGATTTATTGTAGCGTACTTTTTTCCACATTTTGCATCAGGTAACCGGTTCCAGTTCGTATTTTTATATTTGAGGATTTTGTACTTTTTGGTTTTTGTGGGGCTAATATTTGGAAAGTGCTCAAAATGAAAATACTGATAATTGGTTTGCCAACAGAATGCGATCTTTTGTCTTTGAAACTTTGAAAACACTTTAATGCTGCTGATGGTATAAGTTAACAATTTGTACTTGTGTTGATGTTAATAGGACTGACTTAAAGATACTGATGCCCTGTTTTTGAATGCTAAAAATCCAATCAAATACCAAGCATAACGATATATTTACTAAGTGCCACCACTGTCAAGACATAGCTATAGTTTATTTTGGGTAGGGGATTAAAATTCAAATTAAGTTGCATGTATTTGGTGTAATGTACAGCTTTATGTAGGGCAATGAAGGGATAATGTCTTCTCATACTTTTGATTCAAATGGTAGTACCGTTCTTTTGAAGATGTTTATGCTTCTCCAAAAGTTTATATTTTAAGCCATTGAAATTCATTGCAATTTGTGGATTTGAAAGGCATATCATTAATAAAGCCCGTTGAAATGCAAGCCATTTTTATAATTCAAACTAGATTATATAATCCCATTGTCCGAAGCCGAGTTTTCTCTGGAATATTTTGTCTGTGGTTTTCGTTGGAACAAACTGAGGTGAATTTATTTTACAGATATGCGCACTCCCTGAACATCTGTTTTCACTGTTTAACAACTTTCAGTTGTCCTGCAGTATTTCATCTAATTCCTGCCATGATAGCATTGGTTCCTATCATCGTCACCCAGTATTGTATTAATTTCAGTATAAGAAAACTCTACTATGTGAATAGAAATATAAAATAAACTGTGTACCTCCACTTTTAGTAGATTTACTGAAGGTTTTATTGTCTGGTTTGTTTGAGAATGAAAGAAATGAAATTCCTTTCCAGTTATACTCCATCTGGTTGAACATAAATGGTTATAAAAGTGTGAAGTAGCAAACACCTTTTGAATGTATGTTTATAATTAGATAAAACAGAATTGATGTACAAGTTAATTAAGTTTCACCTTTGGTCAACAGTAATGAATAACTTAGTTAATAAAATGTTAGGTTACTAAATTAAGAAGTGCATATAACTTTGCATACTTGAATATAAGTTTTCAAGCCAAAATTATGTGCAACGACATCCAGGGAAACTTTTTTTCATTAGTAATTAGTAACTAATTTTCATTAGTTTGTTCAATTTTACAAAAGGATCCAAATTTATACCCGTGTATTGATTTTTATCCTTTGTGCATTGTGACTCGTACGGTTTTATTGTAAAAATTGACAGTATCATCCGATCATAACACCATTGTCTATGATTTTTAAACTCGTATTTAGTTTTCACAAATTATTTTTTGTAGCAGTTCATGAGTTCAAGATCCTGCTGCTGATTTAATTTTGATAAGCCAGGTATTTGAAAAACCAAAATTTTAGCAGTGAGAGTATACATTGTAGATGTATTTTGGTCTTTGGTATTTTACTACATCGTTTACATTTATATAACACTATTCAAATCAAGTGATCATAGTATTTATTTTGTACATTGGAGTGGACTTTAACTTTATACAATTGTAAAATATGTGGCAAATTGACAAGCCCATAAGTCAAAAGAAATTGTTTAAAAAAAAAAGTCAGGGGCAATGTCAAACAGGTCGCCAATTTGGTATCATCTGTTTATACTGGCACACAGTCAAAATCTACTCCCACTTGTCTGTAAAAAGGGTGCATCTTGATATTTAAGATTGAAAAACTATAAAGTGTGTCTTGTTATACTTTTTAAATTACTTTTTAAATTTCTTTTTAAACATTCTTATTGCTACTTCTCTTGAACCATTTTCTCTCTTTCTGCCTTGAACATGCATGAATTTAGGAGTAGTCCTCTAAAGTACACTGATATCTGCCCCATCTATCCAAACCATTCCACCATTCCTATTTTATAAATTGCAGTATATTTGAATAACCTTAGTTGCATACTGAGAGTCTTTTTCAGTGCATCCGCATGCCTGGTATGAAATACTTTATGAAAACAAATCTTGATAAATGGAACTACAGTAAAAAAAAAATCTGAAAAAATGCATTAAAATATTGAACACAGAAGACAAACTATTTTAAGTCACAAATGAAAGATACTGTCCAAAATTGCTTTGGTTTTGTATAGCAAACAGGTAGTGCACATAGATTTTCTAGCTTGGTGTTCTTAGGATCTATTACTTGTAAGAAGTAACATGGTTATTACATACCAAGGTTATTTATGATTTCATAGTTTTACTTAATTGTACACTTGCAACAAAAGTCAGTCCTGTGTAATTCCCTAAGTAGAACTCTGACAAAAATATCTGTTTGAATCAAATGTTTTGAAATAATGTTGCATTCCCTACACTTAGATCAGCATGCAATAAATTTTCTTAAGTAGATACTTTAACATTAAACTAAGTTGGACTATAACCTGGATCAATTATGTATTCAAGGTGCAAAATCTCAGTCAGCCAAATGTGGCTAAGAAAGGTAGTTCAGGATTGCATAAGATTAAAAGAAAAGAATTATGAAGTTTTTAGAAATAGCAGTAACTCTGATGTTTGGGAGGTTTATAATAATACAATAACGGAGGACTAAGAAAGTGATGAGGAAGAGGGGGAATAGAATTTGATTGTAATCTAGCAACAAACATAAAAATGGACAAAAAGCTTTGATAGATATGTACAAGGAAATATTTGGCTAAAATGAATGTGTCCATTAAAGCCAGATTAGGTGAATTTATAATGGGGAGTCGAGAAATAGCAGAAAAGCTAATTGATTTACTGGTGTTTATTTCACTGAGGAAGATACCAGAAATCTCCCAGGAGTAGAGATCCAAACCTCTGAGGAGAATGAAATATTAAAGGAAATTAGCATTAGTAAGAAGGTTGTTCAGAAGAAATTAAAGGGACTCAAAGTTGATAACTCCTCAGGATCTGATGGCTGTCGTCCAGAATGTTGAAGGAAGTGCTTATACAGACAGTTGATGCATTGGTAATTATCTTGCAAAATTCCAAAGATACTTGAATGATTTCTGAAGATTGGAGGTTAGCAAATGTCACCCCACTATATAAGAAGGAGCGAGAGAGAAAACAGGGAGCTACAGACTTTGTTACCCTTGCATCAGTAGTAGGGAAATAATAGAATCTATTTTCAAGAATGGGGTAAATAGACAACTAAATAATGATTGGGCATAGTCAGCATGGATTTGTGAATGGAAAGTTGTGTTTGATGAACTTATGTTTTTGAAGATGTTACTAAGAAATTGAAAAAGGAGAAGCAATAGATGTAGTATACTTAGATTTTCAGAACACTTTTGATAAAGAACCCCACACTGGGCTGGAGAGAAAACCTAAAGAAAATGGAAGAGGAGGTAATGTACTGCTATGGATTAATAATTGTTTTCTGTCTGAAAGCCAGTTTGTAGGAATAAATAGGCCATTCGTGCATTGGCAGGCATGCATTACGAATGGAATACTGCAAGGGTCAGTGCTTGAGGCCCCAGCTGTTCATAAAATATATTTTGTCTATGTATATGTATATATGTTTTAGATTTGGGGACCCAATGTAATATTTTCAAATTTGCAAAGATAACGTGGAATGTGTTGCAAGGAAGACTTAAAATGCCTTGTGGAGATTTAGACAGGCTGAAATGAGTGGGCAGATACATGGCAGATGGAATGTAATGTAGAAACATGTAAAGTGTTGAGACCTTAATCATTTTTAGTTTGAAGCTGTGAACTGAGAACTAAGGTGACCTTTGACTGTGAGCAGCAGCTTTTATTTTAAAGAAGAGAACAAACAAACTGTTATGTGTTTATAAGGCCAGGACTGGAAGTTAATTGCAGGTTGATTCTTGTTCAGAGTACTTTATCAACGTTTGACTCGGAATTGCATTATGCTCAAACAGATGTTTGAATGATAATAGGTGCCCCATGGATAGACAACCAGTCCTACAAAGAGAAACCAAAGTTTGAACAGGTTTTTGAACTGTTTAAGTTGGGTTATTGCTGCAAAAGCTACAGGACAGTGATTTGATTGCTGCTTGGTTGTCCTCTCCTTATTAAAGTATTGAAAGTTTGGAGAATAGAATCTCAGTTGAAAACCAGATGATGCAATCTCATGTACCTGTGATTTAATGGATTGTGGAATCTGCTTAAGTGAGCTGATCAGTTACATCTCATTTTTCTTCCTTTTGATTTATCCCTAAACTATGTGTTCATCTGTCTATTAGAATGTGGGTTCTAGAGTCATAGAAGATTAGGTTTGAATCATAGACGTTAATTGGGTTACCTTGTGATTTAACTTTGCTAAAGCCATTTATTAATAAACTATTAAGTCTTTTATCTAAGATATAAACCTGATGTCTGGAACTGATTATTCATATGAAGTCTGGTTCTTCAAAAAGTTCCTTTAGAAACCATTTGAGTCAATTTTGATGGTCATTGAGTATTTTCATTTTACTCTGTGTATACAGGGATAGGTGGCTGATTTAATTTGGCTGTTCGTCTGTCATAACAAAGTTTATCCACTATGATACCAAGGTGTAGAGCTGGATGAACACAAACTTTGTATCACACTTCCTTCAAGGACACACCATACCTCAGGGTGTTCTGGAGGCATCCAAGATCATGACATTTGCACCAGCTGGATCTGAGCATCAACAGTGTTCTTAACACAAGCAGCTATCACAGTGCTGGCTGTGATACAAATTGCTCCCTGATGTGTACTAGGATTAGAATGAAACCCTTGAAGCTTTATCCTTCAAAGCAGAAATGCTGTCATCATGTCAGTGTTGGCCAGGATAAACAGGAACAGTTCTTCAATCTAATGATTTTCAATTCTGGTATTCTCACACAAAGTACAGAAATGTAACATACTTTAAAACATCATCTACAAAAAAATTGCACACTCAGCCTATGGCAAGTATGTGGAAAAATGCTGACTGCTAACATCATGATTAGAATCTGTTATTGAAGACAAGTGCCCTGCTTTTGTTAATTACAAGAAGAATCAAAGTGACTCTGTGCGAACCACTAAAGTTTAACAGAATAGTAGTGCACCAATGATTACTGGTTCTGACTTTGTTAGAATATCCAGCTGGCCTTTGACAGTGAATGCTAGAGGCATAAAGGAACAAAAAGGGCAGTAAGGCCATCAACAAAGGAAACTGTTCCTTTGAAAACAAAGGCAGGGGAATCCATCAACTGCAATAAAACAATAGAAAGATGTGTGGAACCCTAACTTAAGTTATATTCTAACGAGAGCACTGCTCTTGAGAAAGCTTTCAACATTGTTGGAGGCTTGGCTGTTAGACTGCTGAATATTGAATCCATTATTTAGCAAAATTAATGACTTTGAACAAGGAAGTCCCTGGTAGCTCGCAAAGCTTCCTTGCACGTCTGGGATGTAACACAGTGTGGAGCTAGAGGAACAAGCAGACCAGGCAGCATCAGAGGAGCAGGAAAGTTGATGTTTCGGGTCAGGACCCTTCTTCAGGAAAAGGGTCTGGGATGTGTGTTGTGCTCAATGGATGGTGAACTCCAGCCACTGTTGGGTATGTAAGATTTTGTAATTCACTTTAACTTTAATTGGCTGGCTGGGTAAAAGTCTCCCTTTTGCTTCTGTTTGTCTAAAATTGTCCTTCTGTCTTCAGTTCTCCCTGTGCCACTAAGAATCACACATTGCTATCTATGCATATTAACCTGTGCAAGCCATTACCTCCTGCATATGATCAGAGACTCTAATTGCCATGTTGAATTGGTTAATCAATGTATGCCCAATTCCTAATTGGTTTCTTTAAAAATGATAATCTTCTCACTGACACC